CATTGTTCAAATCACTGCTCTGGCTTGTCAGTGTACACACACAGAACGTAAGAACGTTCCACGGTGTCTACACTGAGTTACACGCTGTAGCAGGATAAATGAGTGAATAATCACTTCAAGACTCTTTAATACGGATCAGAACGCTGATGTCTTTGCTGCTGCTGTTGAGAAAAGTCGTCTGGGGCTCTGGAGGTTTTTGCTGTAATGCCCATGAAAAATACTGTATTGTGTGTCAGAAGGCTTCTCACCAATCCGCCATCTCAACCTTTTCAAGGGAGACTCTCCTTAGACAACAAGGATAGCCAGGAGCCCTTTGTGAAAGCAAGGCCCACTGTATTCTTTCCACTTTTTTTTTTTAATATATTTTATTGATTTTTTTCAGAGAGGAAGGGAGAGAGATAGAGAGTTAGAAACATCGATGAGAGAGAAACATCGATCAGCTGCCTCCTGCACATCTCCTACTGGGGATGTGCCCGCAACCCATGTACATGCCCTTGACCGGAATCGAACCTGGGACCTTTCAGGACGCAGGCCGACGCTCTATCCACTGAGCCAAACCGGTTTCGGCTCTTTCCACTTTTGACATAGTTCGGATGATAAATGTCTAACATGTCCTATGAAACTCCACTGTCAATGCCATCGTGGCATTATTTTCTAACTTAGGAAGCGAATTCCACTTTCTCCAAATACATCAGCCTGAGTTTCACAAAACAAGACTCATGATCTTAGAAGCTAGAAGAGAATTTAGAGGGCATTTTGTCCAAATAAGCAAATAAACAGGCGATAAAGGCATCCCCAGGGCATATGCAGCAGCGTCCAGGGAATACGGGGTGCCATAGAATAAACCCGACTCAGTTTCACACAAATATTTTTGCATAGGGACTGACCTACCAAACAAAACATTTTCACACACTGGCATGTGCTGGGGACACTCAAGTGAGAGAATCCACGTTTCCTCAAATGCAGAAGTCCCACTGACACGACGAGGGCACGATGATTATAATGACAGCTACCGCACTTATTGAGCACTTGCGAGATGCTGGATAGTGTGACTGGAGCTGTAATATACATTCTCTCACTTGTCCTCACATCACTGTTATGCACTAGAAATAATATAACTGTCCTACTACACGGAGGAGGAAACCAAGGTGAAAAAAACTTTCCCACGTTCATCCAGCTAGTAAATAGCAGAGTCTGTGTTTGGTCCCAGGGCTGTCTGGCTCCATTGCCTATGATCTTAATTGCTGCCTCAGAAATCAGAAACTGAGGCCCAATCAGCTTAAAAAGGAAGATCCTTAATCAAGTCACGTATCTTTCTTTCTGTCCCTAAGGCTTTCCCAGCTATAAAATCAGAACAATACCTATCCCTTCCTTCATCGTAATGAGGATCCAGAAGCTCATGGGATACACGTGCTCACAGCACCCTATTGTAGAGCTGAAAAGAACCTTAGTCACACAAAACACCTGTATGTGAATGTTTATAGTAGCCGAAAAGTGAAAACAGCCCAAATGTTCATCAAATAATGAGTGGATAAACAAAATGTGTTAAATCCACGCAGCGGAATTCTCTTCATCTATAAAAATAAAGTACTAATACCTGTTATGATGTGGATGAACCCTGGAAACATTACGCTAAGGGAAAGAAGCCAGGCGCAAAGGGTCACATACTAGGATGTATGATTCCATTTACATGAAATGTGCAGAATAGGCAAATCCACAGAGACAGAGATTAGTGGTTGTCAGGGCATGGGGTAGAGGGTTAGGAGGAATCGGGGAGTGGCTGCTAATAGGTACAGGTTTTTGGGGGGGTTTTTTTGGGGGGAGGTAAAATATCCTATAATTAGATAGTGGAGATGGTAGCACAACTCTGTAAATATACTAAAAACCACTGACTTGTACACTTTAAAAAAGTAAATGTTATGGTTTGTGAATTATATCTTAATAGAACTATTACTAAAAAACAAAACGGCCCAGCCGGCGTGGCTCAGTCCTGTACACCCCCTACTGGGGATGTGCCTGCAACCAAGGTACATGCCCTTGACCAGAATCGAACCCGGGACCGATCCCCAGTGTGGGGTGTGCAGGAGGCAGCTGATCAATGATTCTCTCTCATCACTGATGTTTCTATCTCTCTCTCCCTCTCCCTTCCTCTCTGAAATCAATAAAAAATATATTTAAAAAACAAACAAATGCCTTGGAAGACATGGCAGCAAAGGAAATATATTTAAAAATACTTTGAACAAAAGCACCACAGAAATACTGTACTGCATTTTCGATATTATACATTTCATGCTTATAAAAGCACATTATGTACACTGCAAGAAAAGTATGGCCTTCTATTACTTCTGCTGGCTGTTTTCTTGTCCTAGGAGAATCTGAATTCACTTCAAAGTACCACTCGAGTCCTCAAGTTCCTGAACACCCAGTTAATAAAACGAAAATGTAATGCACTCTAAACTGGCTGCTGACGGAAAGAAACCCCAGGGAATTGTCCTGCTTAAAAAGAGAAAGGGAAAAAAGGCCACTAAACTCACCAAGGGCCTTCATTCAAGGCCAGAGAGGATACCAAGAATCTAGATCGAGTGGAGATGTTATCCTCCTATGATCTTTTGGGAGCTGCTTATCGGGAATTTCTACAGAGAAATTAGGCAAAGGAACCTCAACTATAAAGACACTGCTTTAATAAAAGAACCATCCACACTGACACAAATCCTTACCTTCTTATACGACTTAACATAAACACCTTATCTTATTTTCACGTCGTCAGCAGTACTTGCATGCAGCACAAATTTTACCCCCATCTTAAGGACAAGGAAAGTGAGGCACAAAGAAGGTCACCTGCTAATGAAAAGCATCTACATTCCCAGCTCTGGGCTCTTTCCTATGTCATGCTAATGTTTGCTTTCTCCCTTCATCTCTCTTGGCCACCTAGAGTTCTTTCAGAACGTGAATTTAGCCTCAAGAAACAATTTCCCCTTTCACTGTTCTGGCTGGTTGTGTTCCTTTCTTAAGTCTCCATAAGAAAGACATACTTGCTCAGAATCAGTATGAAATAAATGTTCTTGAACAAACAAATCGATGTGGCTAGGCCAATATGGTTATTTTAATCTTTCATGAATAATGAAGACTCGAAAACCTGTCTACAATCTCACAAGGTTGGGGATTCCCTTCCCAGTTGCTGAAAATGGTTGTAGAACTGAGTCAGAAACGCTGTTCCTGAGCTGGCCCTGGAAATGACTTCCTGAAGACCTGTCCAACTCTTCCTTTCCAGCCAATCAAATGGTGACTGGATTCCCTGGACAGGACACCTGCAGCTAAGACCTTCAGATCTATCGCTTGAATTCTCACCTTTCATAACATTCTGTTTTTTTTAATTTTTTAAAATTTAGAGAGAGAAACATCGATTTGTTGCTCCACCCATTTATGCATTCATTGGTTGATTCTTACACATGCCCTGACTGGGGATGGAACCCACAACCCTGGTGCACTGAGAGGACACTCCAACCCACTGAGCCACCCGGCCAGGGCCACCTTTCAGATACATTCTGCTATGAATGCATCTCTCTCTCTTTCTCTCTCTCCTGTCCTTCTTTCTTCCTTCTCCCTCCCCTACTCTCACTCTCCCTCCCCCTTCCATTCTCTCCTTCTCTACCTCCCCTTCCTCTTCCTTTCTCTATTAGTAGCAGTTACTTCACACTTCCTTGTGAGAAATGAAGGCTTTAATAGTCTGAGTACCCACTGGGAGCAACTGACTAGTGAAATAACCTCATACAAGTGTTAACCATCGAATTAGTAGAAACACCAAGAATTTACCGTATGCTGCTCTAGCCAAGCCTTTTCCAAAGATCTAAGAACCAGAGACGAACCATGCAAAGGCATGCTCTCATGAGAATATTAGTGCTGCCCTAGCCGGTTTGGCTCAGTGGATAGAACGTTGGCCTGGATTGAAGGTTCCTGGGTTCAATTCTGGTCAAGGGCACATGCCCAGGTTGCAGGCTCGATTCCCAGTAGGGAGCGTGCAGGAGGGAGCCAATCAATGAGTCTCTCTCATCATTGATGTTTCTCTCTCTCTCTCCCCTCCTTCCTCTCTGAAATCAATTTTAAAAATTCTTTTAAAAGAATATTAATGCTTAGGGATGAGATCAGAGAAGTTCTTTTTTTCCTTTGGTAACTAAAGAGTTAGCAGCTTTCTTTTCAACACACAAGAAGGACTTAGGTACAATAGTAAATGCAGCTCTTAATTCAAAAGTGGGTGGATTTAGAGACCAGGGTATTAACAACATTCCTGCATTTGTTAAAAAGGTATGTTCTATATTTAAATTAGGTTTCCACCTATTCAACCCTCAAACCCTTTCTTTGCAATGATTTTACAGGTTTGACCTTGGTTAATTAGTACTTTCATGACACCACCCTATAAATGGTACAAGAATTTTTTTTAAAGAATTTTTACTTAGTGTGGAAATAAAGAGAACAAATTTCAAATACAGATACACATACCTCCTTTCATATTTAAATAATACGAAGGAATCTATATTCACAAAGACAACATCAATAAAAATCATCTGCCCTAGAAATTTTCCCTAAGCTTTTCAGTTCAAAGATGGAGGCATCTGATAATTGATCTAAACGCATTAACATAATTTTACCAGTGACGGGCTTTCTCTAGTTAAAGGAATCATAGACTTTTGGAGATACAAGGAATGTCAGAAATCATTAAACACAACTCTTTCATTTTAAAAATGAGAACACCCCCAAGTGAAGTGATTGTGAAAGCCTCAATAGCTGGCCCTGCCGGGAAAGGTCTTGGCTCCTGATTCGTAGTTTGGCACAGCTAAGTCCTTACAGGTGAAAAATATTCAACTTGATATAACACCAAATGCAACAGAAGTGAGAATTACTCTTACTACGTATATACATGATTGACATGATACAGACGCTCTACTTCAGCTTTCAAATTCAGTGAAGAATGTTACACCATCAATTCTTAACTTGGGACTCACCCTGCTGAGCTGATCCAATAACCTTTGGTTCTGTTCCGATAATTCCTGGACAGCCCGTGTTTTTTCCCGATCGGCCTCCCGTAGGTGAACCTGCTGCCTCTCCAACTCATCCTGAAGCTGTTTCACGTCACTCTCCAGCTCGGACACACGCCCTTCCCACTCTCCTTCTCGGTTCTCAAATCGTCTTCTTAGTTCGTGTTTCTCTTGTTCTAAGTGCTGAGTGAAAAGTGAAGATTTAAAACCTGTTAAAAATTCTACAGCCTTTCATTTTTCTCTTTGCACACTCTCCTAATTTTTTTGTTTGTGTATTGATTTGAGAGAGAGAGAGAGAGAGGGAGGAAGGGAGAGAGAAACATGGACTCGTTCCATTTACTCGTGCATTCATTGGTTGAGTCTTGTATGTGCCCTGACTAGGGATGGAACCCACAACTTTGGTATATTGGGACCATGCTCTAACCAACTGAGCTACCTGGCCAGGGCCTCTCCTAACTTTTCTTTTTTAGCACAACAAAACACTACCACTTGGGAAAAGTTGCCGATTTCACAGCTACGAAAATATTCCCTTCGTCCAGAGTAGAAAAGGAGTTGGTTTCATAAAAAGAATGCCATTCCTATGGAAAATACTTGGAAGTTATTATGTTTATTCTTGTCCTTGGGCATGGGGTTCTAGACTTAGGAATTCACTTGAAATTTAGCAAGTTACCTAATTAGCTGAACTATACATTTAAACAACTTAAAATGACCATTTAAGAAGGCTTCTGTTGAAAGCATCTTTTATGCCTGGCACAATACCAGACAGAATTCTCAGAGACGGAAAGAACTCCAGAGATCCTTCAGATGAACTATCTTTTCTTACAAATGAGGCAACAGAAGAGGTTAAGTAATGAGCTTGAGATCAATACTAGTAAATGACAGAGCTGGGATTTGTGTCTAGTCATTTGACTGTTTAGTGCTCTAAATCACCACTCAATAAATATTTGTTGCTATATATACAGCACTGTATTTCAAAATCATTAAGGCAAGGTCAGGTTCAGGCCTGCTCTAAATCATGGCCTAGTAGCCTTGCATATTTTTTTGCTAATCCATTCTTTAGTGCCTACTATGAGCCAGCCACTGTGCTGGGGACACAGTGATGAACAAAACAGACATGGTCCTTGCCTACATGGAGTTTTTATTCCAGTGGGACGGGCTGATACCTGTAATAAGTGGAGTGTGGGAATGGTATGCAGGAAAAAGTATAAATGACTGGAAGTAGCAGCTCAATAGAAAAAGATTCTTTTGGATTGAAGGAAATAAGAACATCTTTCTGTTTCTGTGCGATGAATACAACTGCCTCTTTTCAGAGGCAAGTATGTTCTTCTACTTGAAAGCATAGTATGTACAAAAAAAAGCCAAGTCTATACCTAAAGGATTATATGAATATAAGTTAAAGCAATGGCCCTCAACTTTCAGTCTCTCAGAAAAGCTCTGATATAAATCTCCAAAAATATACCCACCTGAACCCCAGTTTCAAAGATCGTGATTTAGTTAAGAATGGGATGAGGCCTAGGCATCCATTCATTCATCCATCCACCCACCCACCCACCTACGCACCCATCTATCCAAGATCTGATGCACTGAAGGTTGATATCAAGCATGAAATCATTTCAACAGGCTAACAGGAGCATGTGAATCTCCTTCAGAGGACTGTCATCTCTTCACCTTGGGAAGCTAGGCTATCAATCTAGCCAAGATTTCACTTTTCAAATGTTTTTTGGAATGCTTCTTTTGGGAAGCCTTAAGGGCCGGAGTGTAGTTACACAAGAAAATCAGTCCCATTACTTCACATCTGACATGTGTCTAAAAAAGAGGTGATGTCATGTCATCCTGACATCTATTCATTCCTTACTTTGCTCTGGGTGAGGTGTGAGTGTTTCTGAAAGTTGAATTTACCTCCAAAAGATGAGAATTTACCATTACAGAATAGTCCAAATAATGTGCCAAAAGATAAAAGCAGTGATCCAAAACTAACTTTCCGAGCACATTAGCAAAGGCAGTTTGTTAATAAATATTGAAATAAATGTACAGCTCAAGTTGATCACTTTAAGGGAACAACTCATTTGTTTATAGCCATGCTAGTATATTTGTTGAAAAAGTCACTGTTTGGTTGTACTTTATACAGCCTCTGTTTGGAGCATGTGGGAAAAGGAATGACAAGGGAGGGCTTCTACTCATCAGCATGAGAATTTCATGCTCTATCGATGCTTCCCTCATATTGCTAAACTTCCAAAAGGAGGATGTTTTACTCACTGTAGACACTTCAGGAAGATGAAATGCAGAAACAAGGGATAATTACAACCTTAAAATGGTAATTCTTGGTTTTATCGAGTTTTTCCAAAATGAAAAATATTGAGCAGACGGCAACAGCAAGAACTCAGTACTCACAGTGTTACTGAGAGGCCAGATAAATCAGGCTTGTGTTCTGAAAGAACAGAGAGACTTAAAAATACTCAGCAAACAGCTGTTAGCAAACAGCCCAACCAAGCAACTAAAACAATCCAATCCACTTGAGGGGCGGGGTCGGGGACAGGTGGTCTGATCAATCTGTCCTTGCATTTCTTTGGACATGAGACAAAGTTCCTAATGCAGGTTTCTCAACACTTGGTGGGGGGGCGGGGATAAGACCTTCCTATTTATAAACATACAAAATGTAGCTTTTTATCTACTCTGAAAAAAGAAGGGTTTCTCCTAGAATTATATTTCAATTAAGTGCTGAATTAACCAGTAAACTCTAGGCCAGCGGTCACCAACCTTTCGGACCTCACAGACCACCAGTGGCAAACGCTGCTCTAGGCAGAATTGTCAGCAAGTGTGGAGGTCCGGAGGCTCTGCCCATACTATTCCCTGTTTCTTGGGACTATATGGTATTAAAAGTTAATATCTACACCTGAAACAACATAATGTTATAGGTCAATTATACCTCCACAGAGGAAAAAGTTAATATCAAAAGTGTCAAGGTCATCAAAAACAAAGAAATTCATCCTAGCATGTAGCTCTGTTAGTTACAGGTTTGATGCCCAGTCAGGGCACATACTAGAATCAACCAATAAATGCATAAATAAGTGGAACAACAAATCCATGTTTCTCTATCTCTCTCCCTCCCCCGCCCTTTCCTCTATCTCTAAAAAAAAATAAAAAATCAATGAATAAAAATAAATTAAAAAAACAAGAACAAGGAAAGTCTAAGAAACTGTTGCAGCAAAGAAGAGACTAAGATATGAAAACTAAATGTAATGTGGTATCCTGAATGGAATTCTGGAACAGAAAAATACATAAGGTAAAGGCTAAGGAAATCTGAATAAACTCAGGACTTTACATATCAGTATTGGCTTCTTTTTTTAAAAAAGTAATGTATTTTTATTGATTTCAGAGAGGAAGGAAGAGAGAGAGAGAGAGAGAGAAACATCAGTGATGAGAGAGAATCACTGATTGGCTACCTCCTGCACACCCCACACTGGGGGATCAAGCCTGCAACCATGGCATGTGCCATGACAGGGAATCGAACCGGAGACCTCTTGGATCCTGGGTTGACTGACGAGGTAGTATTGGTTTCTTAATGATGGTGTGTACCACACTAACGTAAGGTGTTAGTAATAGAGGAAACTGGGTGCAAGGCATATGGAAACTCTGCACCATCTTTCCACATTTTTCTGGAAATCTAAAATCATTCTAAAAAAAAAAGTTTATTTAAAACTCTGAAAAAACAAATCTAGTACCATTAGCCTACCCAAAATTGGTTGTCACAGAAATGGATTTCTGCAAAGAACTGAAAAAGCAACACCATTCTCCTAAGTCCAGGATATGATTCTTAAAAAATACAAAGAAAAAAGACCTTTTTTTAAAGTGGACCTAGCACTGAATGCAAATAAAGACCTCCTAGGTCTGCTTCCCTAAATCTACTACTGAGTCCCATTATGTAATCATTTTCATCTTACTTGTTTTGCCCTCTTAAAAAAATAGTACTAGAACCCCAGCTGGGTGGCTGAGTTGGTTGGAGTGTCACCCTGTACACCAAAGAAGTTGAGGGTTTGATTTCCAGTCAAGGCACATACCTGGGTTGTAGATTTGGGCCTGTAGGGGAGGCAACCAATCCATGTTTCTCTCCCACATCAATGTTTCTCTCTTTCTCTCAAATCAGTGAAACATATGCTTGGGTGAGGATAAAACAACAACAACTGATATAGTGCCTGCCTTCTTGGGGTCTACAGTCTCTCTGGGCCTCAGTTTCCTTTTATTTACCATGAATTTGTAGATTAAAAAATTTTATTTTAGAGAGAGGAAGGGGGAGGGAGAGAGAGAGAAACATTTACCGGTTGCCTCCTGTATGCGCCCTCACGGGGGAATCGAACCCACAGCCTAAGTATATGCCCTGACCCGGAATGGAACCCACAACTTTTTGGTGCACAGGACGACACTCCAACCATCCAAGTCCCCTGGCCAGAGCAAAACTAAAAATTTTCAAACATATCTAGAAGAAATAGTATAACTGAACTCTTCCTTACACAGTTTCAATAATGCTCAATATTTGGCTTTTTAAAAATAAACTGTTAAAAAAACCATTATTTTTTAAATTGTGGTAAAGTACAGAATTCCCCCCTTATCTGTAGTTTCGCTTTCCACAGTTTCAACTACCCACAGTCAAGCTTGGTCCAAAAATATTAAATGGAAAATTCCAGAAATAAACAATTCATAAGTTTTCAATTTTGCACCCATCTGAGAAGCGTGATAAATCTCGCATCCTCCTACTCGATCCTGCCTGGCAAGTGACTCATCCCTTTGTCCAGCTGTACACACTCCCGCCAGCTAGTCGCTTACTAGCCCTCGGGGTTATCAGATCGACTAACCTGGTATTGCAGTGCTTGTGTTCAGGGAACCCTTATTTTACTTAATAACGGCTGCAAAACACAAGAGTAGTAATGCTGGCAATTTGGAACCACCAGGGAAGCTGTGAAGTATTTACTGTAAGTGAAAAGGTAAAAGTTCTCTGCTTAATTGTTCTATTTTATTATTATTGTTAATCTCTTACTGTGCCTAATTTATAAATTAAACTTTATCATAGGTACATATGTATAGGAAAAAACATAGTACATATGAGGTTTGGTACTATCTGTGTGGTTTCCGGCATCTGCTGGGGGTCTTGGAACATCTCCTCAGATAAGGGGGGACCACAGTATACGTAACATAAAATTTCCCGTCTTAATTTTTAAGTGTACAGCTCAGTAGTGCTAAGTACATTCACACTGTTGTGCAACCAACCTCCAGAAATTTAACTAGAGTTCATAACGCTGGCCTGCAGAGGAGTGAAGATCTTAAAAACTAGTTTAAGAGCTTTAAACTATTTTATAGTCAAAGGTAATCTATTCACTTACAACAGAACCTTTCTGGGTACTGAATTTTGAAATCTTTTTCCTTTGTTGAAGAAATGTCTAAAGGCTCCACATGGAACCCAGGATGTGTGTAACTGCACACTCAGGATTACGCTGAAATCTACCACTCATCAAACCGACTGATATGATGGCCCTTTCAAGTCGGCTGTCTCTTCAATCAAGTCCCTCACTGAAGGAATTTCAAATCAAGTATAAATCTCTGCAGTAGTACTTCTATATAGAGCCGTGTAATCAAATCTCTTTTTTTAAAAAAGACACCCTTTTATTTGTAGACCTCTACTTCAAGTGAAAATGAAACAATTGAATTCATTGGGCTGCTTTTTGGCAGTCTACCTATAGGTTTCACAAACCGCTTTTCAGAAAGGTATCTCAGGAGTTCATCGACTGGCAGACCTAGTTAACAGGCCAACTGAACTACGGGGCACCCGTTGGTTTCCCTTTTCTCTCCCTGATTTGCTTTCGCTATGTTGTTGGACTACAGACACACTTAAATCGTATTCTAGAAAAGTTTTGGAGCCTACATTCTGACTGTTCGACCAGTAGCACGTGATATAGAACCAGACTAGGGTCAATTTCAGACCTTATTCAGGACTGTACTATTCTGCAACCAATAAAAAAACAAAAAACTGGCTGCAACCAAAGTGGGTAACAATAGTAAATGCACAGGCCGAAAAAAGGTAAGCTTGTCTCCACTGCCACAGATGCTTCCCCTTTTTAAATCTCCCTAATTTTTAGAAATGCTGGTGGTGCTCCATGCCACTTTCTGGTTAAGACCCTTTTCTAGTTAAGGGCAAGAAACGGCAGAAATCTTATAGCTCCTTTAAGGGGTATGTATAATAGTTGAAACAATATGGTTCTCCTATTTGGCCATCCAGTCGCACGTGTGAGACCCAGAACACAGAAAAGTGCTGTTTAAATACACATAAATACTGAGGTCCACATTAAATCCACCACCAGCGGTCACGTGCTGAGCCCAGGCCTGCCTGGCTGCAATGGAACCACGTTCCCTAATCCCCGAGTATTTGAAGGCTATAAAAAGCTCCTTTAGGGGCACTTGTTCCCACAACGCTGAGCTGCCGGGAAGTTAAGACAAGGGCATCTGGAGGCCTTAATGCCCAAACTGGGAAGCTTTAGGCTAACACCCCGATTAGAGATTAACTACTTCTCTGAAAACCTGAGGCATATTTTAAATGCTTACCCTTTCTCACTTCTCAGTGTGCAGACATCACCCCCGTGCTGTACGAGTTAGTCGTGCTGTGAGCTCTATGGTAGATGCTGTGCACAGTCCGTATGCAGACTGGCCCACAGCGTGCCTGCACCCATTTGCTGTGAACAGGGTGGCAAAGTCGGTGTATTCACTGGGTGCCCTGGTCTGATAATCCGAAACCCTCCATCCTCCCCCCACGCTTCCAGGCGGTTTTCTGTGAGGTAGGGTGAGCAAGGGAAGGGTGGAGCGGGTGAGTGGCTCCGGAAGCTGCCCAGGGCCTGGCGGGAGCCTGGGCTCCCCGCTTCCCACCCACCCCGGCGGGGACGAACTCACCTCCAGTTTGTCGGTCAGCTCCTTGTGCATCTGCTCGTACTGCCGGCTCATGTCCTGGTTCTTCTCGAGCAGCGCCTTGCCCAGCCGGGCCGCCAGCACCAGGTCCTTCTCCTTCTGCCGGATCACCGACAGCAGCTCGGGGTCCTGGGCGGGCAGGGGCAGCAGTCCGGCCTCCTCGGCCAGAGGCCCGGGCTCGGCCGCAGGCTGCTCTCCGGGGTCGGACGGCCGTTCCCCGGCCGCCAGCAGCGCCAGCTCCTCCTCTAACGCCAGTTCCAGCTCCCCGGGGCCCCCGGGGAAGGAGACCTGGCGCGGCGGCGGGCGGGGCTCCCGACGGCGTCCGTGGCCGCGGCGGGCAGCTCCATGCAGCAGGCGCTGTCCGGCTCTGCGGGTGCTGAAGCGCGGCCGGCCAAGCC